TGATGAAACAGAAGAGAAACACGACGTGACTAAACCTATTCAACTCCCAAGTCTTAATAAGGTTACAACGACACTGAAAGAAGGTGAAGTGCTTAATACGACGCGAAGAGGTGAAGAACTCCATCCAACAAAACAGAAAATTAAATTTGGTTCACCGATAGTGATTGGTAGTAAAGACATTGAAACACACAAGAAACCACTAAAACGACCTTTGAAAAAGTCAAAGAAAAAAACGAAGAAAATTTGTATGGAAGAGGAGTACTCAGACGACGAGTCTGAGTTACAGAACGAACAATTGTATAACAAAAGAGATCATTTTTGTTTTAATGAGACTATGAAAAGAAACAACGAATTGCAAAACGAAGGAATTGATTTAACAATGGCGGCGCAATATAAGAAGGCGTACAACTTTTTAAAAGATTTACTGTTGAAAATGGGATTTAAAATTACTCAAAATGAAGCCATCAATTTGGCATATAAAACTATACTCTGTTTCATTCGATTTGGAGATTTGGTCGAAAGATACGACGTTACCGAACTCAACGTGTTTCCAAGCGACGTTTTTAAGAAGAAAGTTGTTATTCCCTTCTTTCAGTGGAAAGAAATACCAAATGATATAAAGACAAACTTGGCGTTTTACAAAAGGGTCTCGACCTTTTTGGAAAATGCCAAAAATGGGATGGTGGAGTTGCCACAAAAGTTGGAGCGGTGGTATATGTTCAACAGATGGTCTTTTTGCGACGATTTGAGACTCTTATTTGAAATTGAAAAATGTGGGGTTGGGGCGTATGCTATGTATATTGAAAACCCGATCATAAGACTCACGTTGGCTGTGGCGTATCGATTTCGTTTGTTCTATTTATACATCAGTTACTATTTATAGAGTTGTGTATAGTAAATTTAATTATAAACATATAGATTAAAAAATCTATTAATAGAGTTGATGGTATATTTATTAAAATTATTGAAAGTTATTTATTTATAGTGAACGACGAACAAATGGCTGGGTTTTGTGCTCGAAGAGTCGAAGAGCTCATGAAAATTATATGAATGTTGATGTCATTTTTTTATGTATTTGATTGGTGTTTTATTGTTGTTTTAGGTGTGGGGCACGACTGGTGGCAGATAAATAATATTAAACACGATTAAAAATCAATTAAAAAGTTTTAGAAAGACGCATCTCTTGTAAAAGATTTTGTGCCAAATGGAGAATCTTTTCGGAGAAGCAACGGGTGGAGTTCTCTTTTTGGATATGGTTTGGGAGTTCTTCCGGTTGCAGAAGCTGGAATATAAGGTAGTCTCTGTCCTGTTCGTTCGAAAACTTTTTTGGATTGTCTGAAAGGTGTTCTCCTGTGTTTAATTTTTTCTTCTTCTTCATAAGAATCAAATTTGAAAAGGAACGTATCTGGCATTTTGAGTGTTGTTTTCATTATTTCGTTTGATTCGAGAACTAATCGAACAAGTTCAGTTTTAGCTGAAACAACCGGTCCAACACGTTGTAATGGTGGTTTAGACAAAATTTCAGACAAAAAGATGAAGTACAAATCGTATAGACCAACAAAAGTGTTAATTGGTATAAAAAGAGTCTGTTTATCATTTTCATCGCTCACAATAGACTTCTCCATTTTAATTTTCGCTTCATTCATTCGTTTTAAAAAATCCACATTTATTTTCATCACGTCTTCACCTTCAAAATCATGTCTTAATTTTCGAATACAATTCTTTACTTCTTGTGGTTTTATTTTATAACTGAGTTCGGCTTCTCTAAAACAATTATAATTTGCAACCTCTCTTCTGATAATCTTGTTCAAAATATCTTTGTCATCTGTATTAAATATATAAAAGAACTTGTTTATTGAATACTCAAATTCTTTTAGTACACTCAAAATTGGGTGGAGTTTTTCAACAAATTGATTTACTGAACTTTTCAAACCTTTTAAATCATGTTCTTCTTTCGTGGGAGCGCCATAACAACATAATATACATAATGTAACCACTAAATAAAGAACTTTCATATTGTCAAATAAAGATCAGCACATCAAAGTTTACTCATCGAATCATTGTGTTAATTCGTTTTAGTCACTTTTTGACTTTCAAAAACTTCGTTTCCAATTTAAAAAATATTAAAATAAAGTGTATTAATTTTAATTGCATTTTTATTATTAATATATAGTACATTGTATGTTATTTTTTTTTGTTTAGTTCTACCAAATTAATAAAATTTTACTTTAATTAAACAATAGAATTTTTACTGTTGTTCAATTTTAGTAAGTCAGTCTTAGAATTTTATTAAATCGAATTAAGCTATAAATTATTGTAAATTAAATTATAAATATGATTTAATTATTTATAAAGTTAATAATAACCATTTACAATTAAATAATTATTTATTATTAATTTCTAAATTAAAATGTTAGAAATATGATATATTTAAAAAAATCGATTTTATAATAAAAATAACATAAATTTACTACTAATAATAAAATTATTGTTATATAATTCTAATTGTAAAAAAATAGTTTTATATATTGAATTATTCTGCATAAACATCTTTGAGAGTTTGTTGCATTCTTTGCATTCTCTTTTGAGTGATATTTTCCAATTTATCGAACGAGTATTCCAAGTCCAACGAATTGTGGTTAATCACATCTTCGTCGACGCCGACTATATTCTTTGCGATGAGATCGAAAGAAGGTCTTTCTCTTGGGTTTTGTCTCCAACATTCTTCGACAAGATCCCTGTAAAGTCTTGGCATCTCATTTCCAATTTCAAGTCTTTTCCCATTTTCAACGTAATTTTTGATTTCAAAAATCGATTTAAACTCTTTGTATGGTTCTTGTTGATAAAATATTTCCCATGCTGTTATTCCATATGAATAGACATCTCCAGCATACGTATATTCATCCCTGAATGATTCCGGTGATGCATAAATAGGAGTGCCCAGACCCTTTTCTTCTCCTTTTTTGAGTGACTTTTTGGTGAATCTTGAAGTTCCAAAGTCAGTGATTTTAATGGAACAGACGGAATTTGAGTCGAGTGAATTGACCAATAGATTCTCCGGTTTCAAGTCCAAGTGCATAATCTTGTTTTCATGTAAAAATTGCATTCCTCTTGCAGTGTCAAACAACATTCGTACTTTCAATTTGTAAGGAAGAATGACAAAATCCTCTTTCTCCTTTCTCAAGTACTCTCCCAATGATCCCAATACAAAGAATTGGATGACCATTGAAACTTGTTTTAAGTAAGTGACGGACCCCATGTAATTGGCAATGAATGGATTTCGCAATTTACTCATGATTTCACATTCTGCTACTACACTCTTTTTCAATTCCGTCATTTCATCTTCATCCAAATTGTCCCACTTAAATTGTTTGACAGCGACTGGAACACTCCTATAATTGCCTATAAATACTTTACCCATCGCTCCTTCAGCAATTGGGGTTTCAGTAATGTTCAATTCGTCCATATCAATCTGAGTTGAACTCGTTGCTTCCGTTTTAATTGTAAAATAACAATGTGTTCTTACACTCACATCTTCACATAACCTTTCAATGTTCTTTTTGTCGGTTGGTGTCCAATCCTCAAAAGTCTTTCCCTTCAATATTTCAGAGATGCGCACCAATGTCTTTTTAGATTTGGAGTGCCATACAGTGTATGGGATTTTCATGTTCCTTATTTTTGTTGAACAATGTAAGGTCATGTATACTGTCATGCAGAATTTGGTGTTCGGTCGAAGGAAAACAACTTGTGGACTAAAGTGGAAGACAAATTTGGGAGAATTGGTTGTATGAAATATGACCATCATCCTAAACGTAAAAATATGTTCTTAACATCTAATAAGTGATTAAAAACAAACCATTTCATTTTGCTCAAATTTCGTATGTCAACTCTTTCAAAACGAGTGTCATTGATTAAAGTCGCTTTGTTCTTGTTTCCAAAATCCAAATCCAGAGGTCTCATGTCATATTTCGCATTTTTAGATGGAGTCTCATTAACCGACCCAGTGATATAAAAATGGTAATTTGGTTGTTGTGTTTTAAATATTTTTACGTCTATCTTTTTGTATTTCAATGCACTATATATGGAAACACCAATGATTATAAAAAACACAACTCCTGCAAATGTAGCGCAAAAAACGATAGCCAAAATAATTCCAGTGGAAAT